GTTTCCCTTTGTAGGTTATTTGTTTCTTCCCTCTTGTCATTCTCATTATCTTTTCTTTATCTTGCAATCTTGGAATTTTTATTATGATATGTCTGTCTGTTCTTCTCCTCTCATGGTAGTTTGGGGTTCTTCTTGCTTCTTGGATATCTACTTTCATCTCTCAAATTAGGGAAGTTCTCTTCTATTATCTCTGTGAATATTTTCTCTATTCCTTGGCCTTTCTCTTCGCCTTCTAGGATACCTATAATTCTGATATTTCCTTTCCTAATGGTATCAGATAGCTCTTGAAGTGTTTCTTCATTCCTTTTCCTTTTTACTTTTTCTTTTTAAATTTTCTTTGTTTCTGTGTCTTCAAGGGTGCTGATTCGTTCTTCCATTTCATCTATTCTGTTTTAATAACTTTTCCCAGCATTCTTTATCTTTTCTAGTGGCCTTTTCATCGCCTGCATTTCTTCTGTTTCCTTTTTTAATGTCTCATTTTCTTTCTTCAGTTCGCTGATTGCTTGTCTCATATTTTTTTTCATTTCTTTCATTCATTTCCTTGTTTGCATTCTTCAACTCCTGGATGGCTTGCCTCATTTCATTTTGTTGGTTTATCATGATGATTCTGAATTCTTTATCTGGTAGGTTGAACAGTTCTTCTATTTCTTTGGCTTCTCTTGACTGATTTTTTTTTTGTTGAATTTGCCCCCTGTGGACTTGCTTGAATATTTGTTTGTCTTCTTTTCCCTGTTGTGTATTTTCTAATACTTTTTATTCTATTCGCTGGGATACGGTGTTGCTATTTTTTTTTTTTTTTTGGATGTTCTTTCTGGAATAGATGAGGGACTTCCAGACACTTCAGTTGTGGAGGGTATTCTGGCTGTGTTATTTTTCCCAGTCCCCACTGTGTGTAATTTTGTCTGTCCTCTCAGCTGGAAACAGCGGTCTCTTGTGTTGTTCAGCCTCTTCTAGTAACACGTTGAGGCTGTGTTTCTGGAAGGTGTCTGTTGATCTTTGTAGCCTTCTGATGTCCCAGGTTCCCTCTATGCTCGGTGTGCCTGTGGTGGTTATGATGAATTAGGAGTGTTGTAAGTCTCCCTGAAGCTGGGCCTTTGGCTGAGTGGGTAGCTGGCTTTGTTTATACTCTAAGTACTGTGAGCTTTTCTGGCTCTGAAGTCTTTGGGCCTCTGTTGTGGGGGTGGGATCGCCCCCTCCCCACAGGAGTTCAGGGGAGTGCCAGGGGGCTGAAATCCTCCCTGCTGAGCAGGCTACAAGTCCTCCCTCTGAGCTTTCAGGGCTCTTTTTGTTTAGTCCAAATAGTCCTTCCCTGAGCAGTGCCTCCCCACTGCCTGAGGTCCTTTCACAGAGCCCAGCTGTATCTCCTTAACTCCAGGGTTTTACCACAGTTTTTATCGGTAGATGTGGTAAGCAGGTAAACCCCTAAGCAAGTATCACCGTTTGAGGCACTTCCTAGGGCCTCTCTATGTTGAATGTGCCCATGCAAGATTGTTAAAATTGCTGCATTAGGCCCTCCCTGGTGGCGCAGCGGGTTAAA